CGTTATTTAATTCGTGCTTTTTGAAAGGGTTTGTATTCGTGCTTTTTGAAAGGGTTTGTCTAAATAAAATTTTTTTAATAAATTTTACACAAATTTTCATATTAAATTCATAACTTTTTATAGATTTCGAGTATAAATATTATATTGTATTTTTATATATCATATTATATTTTATTTAAATCTTGTATAAAAATTTATACAAAATTAATTATAAATACTGCAATTAATGAGACTTAAGGCACAAGTTAGAAGATCCCAATTGTATAGCAGCAAATTAATTCAATCCAAAAACAAAAAAAAGTAGTAAAGGAGTTGAAGGTATTATCTTTCTGAAGGCACTACCATATTGTTTTACTTGAGTTAAATTATCAAATAAAATACAAAATATACAATTTTCCCCCTCAACTTTTAGGATTCTTATTGAGTTGAGTTCACTTCAGTAAAAGCATTAGTCAATTCAAGTAATATAAGGATAAAAACATAATATCGTCTCACAAAGACAGTAAACTAATTAAGTACCAAAATTAACTAATTCTAATTTTATTTGAACAATTAAAATTAAATGATTTGAATAAGGTAATTAACTAAAAAAAATTTAAGAAAAACTAAATTAACTTGTAGTAACACCAAGAGTCAAAATTCTAAGACATCCGATTTCATCATACTCAACTCCTTTAGAATTTAGATTAATATACTTTCAAGATATTTAGTATTCATGTAATAGCAAGATTTCCTATCTTATTCAATATATTTTCTTATTCAATATATTTTCTTAAGTTATATCAAACTTATCTTAACCTCCTAACTCACTATATCTCTATGTGAATTTAAATAGATAAAGATATATTATGTTTTATGAAATTTCCTAGTTTACATAGAAAATTAAATACACTTATCACTAATGCTGAGCGAATCATGTTAATCCATCTCATTTAATTTATTGTATATATTACTAGAAACTATTGCATCAAATCTTATTTTGGTTTCAATTATGCTCTTCAAATCAATTTTAATGGTGGTCAATCATTAAAAAACATTAAAAATAATAATATATTCTCTAGAGGAAATAATAAACTTTAAAAATATAAAAATCATAAAATTCTATATCAAATTAACTAGGCTATATCATAGTCTTAGATGACTAAATTAGTTTATACTAAACATAATAACATTTAAGATTAAATTGATAAATCACAATTCTATATCAAAAAGTAAAAGCGTAGGAGAGCAAAACCCAATTTTTTTAGTACACTGTAACCACTTTTGAACTCTTCACTGGTGCGCTCTTCCTCTTGTTCTTGAGTAGAATTGCCTCTGTGGCTGCCCTTGTTTCCGTCATCATCCACACAGAGATCTCGCTTTTTTCTGCCTCCAAAACGCCTTGAAAGCTCTGCCGACTTTGCCTTCCGCAACTCCACCGACTCCCCCTCCTTTTTATATCTCCAACCGTGTGCCCTTCTTCAAAGCCCAGCTCATTTCCTCAATAAAAGAAATAAAGCCCACATGTCCAATGTGGTGCATACGTGTATAGAGGAAAAAATACCGATTTAAGTTCTGGTCTTCAAATGGAGAAATTATGGAATCAGACTTCATCTTTTCAACTTTTGTCATTTCAACCCATTTACTCTTGATTTCTTTAATTTTACCCTCTACCGACAAAGAATGATGAAAACAATGTAAAATCAAATAAATTCACCCCAAGAAAATATAAAAAACTCCAATTCATGACTAAAAAATCATGTAAATATTAATTGTATAGAATTAAGGTTCATCAATTCTTTTGAAAAAATTGTCTCAAACCTTTACCTCCTTCCGATTGTACCACAAACTTCCTAATTCATTCAATAACTCCCCTCCCACTACTTTAAAATATCAAAGTTAATGGTAACCTTTTATTGACCACACACCCACACACTAATGATAGACAATCCTATCTTTCTCTACTCTTAAAACTAAAGAGATTTACAAAATTAAAGTTATTGCTAAAAAAATGTTTTGTCTCTACTCTTGAAAATATTGAGATGTTGTGCCGACAATGAGATCTATGGTAGCTATTAGAGTCAAAGAAAGGAAGTATCAAAGAGTCTGATGGAAGCTATTGGAGAAGGACAAAATTAATGAAGTCGAAGGAAGCTAATGAAAAGAGAAGAAGCTATCGAAGAGTTCGAATCGTGTAAAGGATATTACTAGTGAGGGAGGAAGCTATCAAAGATTTGATTCATCGAGAGGATTTCCAGGTCTATGGTGTGGACGGGTTAGTTTTTATGGATAGTAAATTTAAATAGCCAACAATTTTGACCCACAGAGTTTTATTTGTCTCATATAAGTCCCTCCAAAGCAATTTTTTTTCTTTCATTTAAGGTCCTCCATGTTTTCCTATTTGGAAAACAACTTTTAGTTTTTTTTTTCTATTTTC